GAATGTTTTTTGCTATTCATTTTTTTACCACTTGTTTATTAATATTATTAAAATTCAAAACAAAAATTAAAAAATAAAAAAGTTGAAAATTGTAAAAACTGGCAGCTGATAAAGTGGGTGGTCTCAAAAAATTGGCACCTCAGTCTTGACATGATTTCAGCCCTCCTAGCCATCGGAAATGCAAAAAATAAAAAGATTATTAATCTACAATGATGTCGCAATCGGCTGAACTAGCGATGAGTAAAAAATTTTTTTTTTCACAACTTGGCGACTGTTTGAAAAAAAAAGGTTTTTTTTACTGTTTTTTTTGAGTTTCTCGATTTTTTTTAAATAGTAAAAATAGGAATTTCGGTATGATTCTAGTTCAGACGGTAGATAGATCAATAAACAAGACTCTCTGAAAATTTCAAATAAATTGGTCGAGTAGAACTCCTGAAATCGTGACAAGAGTACTGAAAAAGTAAGTTCTGAGAAAAACGCATTTAAAGTTTTGCGTGAAGCCAAACCAGTATGGAGACCGAGTCAGTAAAATGCCTATATCTCCGAAAATAATTCAAATTTTCAAAAACCTTCTCGTACCCATATTCTTAAATAGTTAAACTTTGGAAATATGAAATAAAAAAAAATTGATTTTTTTAAATTTCTACACTAGAATACCCCCTTAATAACTGCAAATTAACCTATTAACTGTGATTGCCGAATATACTCGTCATGAAGAAGTGGCAGAATTTTGTGTATTGACGAGTATATTCGTCATGCGTATAAAAGACCATTGGCTATAAAAATTGAATTTTTTTAACGAATGTTAAAATGAGATGTTCATATAATTTTAAGACTATGACTTTATAAAAAGTGTCAATTTTCCTTAAGGCAAGTTGCGTAATCTTTTCAAAATGTGGAAATAATTACGTAATCAATCAGAATTGAAATTTAGATATTTAAATGACATTTTCTACTGTTTATGTTAAAAATAATTTATCAAAAACTGCTTTTACTTTCTTATAATATTTTATTGAATTTAATGCGTTTTTAATTTAATACGTATGTAATATATACTTATATTAACAAAAAAGTAAAAATTTAGTACTTTTAGCGCAGATTGACGAATATACTCATCATTAGCGTGTGCACCACAGTTAACTGGTTAACAAATCACATTTACAATTATATTATAAATCACATAAGTCATTTATATTTGACTTGATATTTACATCACGATATCAAAATATATCTGAACTCGTACTTTATATTATTTAAGCATATTTTTATTAATATTATTACCAAGAATAGAAAAGTCTTATCTATTCCTCAAACAATGCCAAATTCAGCGATTTCACTTGAACCAAAACTTTTTACCAGTATTGAAAATAATTCTTCCTATTTATATATAAATAGTTGCCAAAAAATAAGGTTACTACCCTAATTATTATTTAATACCCCGAAATTCATTTTATATTATAAAGTGCAGAGAGAATATACAACCAAAGATTGAACACAAGTACAATATTTTTAATACAAATGAGTATTTTTAACAAATTTGGAAGATAATAATATACGGATATTTTATTTATTAACCAGAGTATATTCTCGTGACAATATTTCCAGAATCTCTTATATTATAATTAATTATTGACTTATAATATAGTACTTAAATAAAATTATTATATATAATAATAATTGGTATAATTATATTTTATAATAAGCTGCTATATGCTTTTTGCAGTGTAGTGTTTTATTTAATCAGAAAGCAAAACTATCTCAGATTTTATTAAATTGATATTTAGTTTTAATTTACAAATTTATTCAAAAAATTCCGAATAATTTGACTCAAATTCTGATTTTAGCAGCTATTTTATTAGTTCAGTTACTTATATAAAATTACTATTACTATTACTCTTACAACTTAACACTATCGTGCCTAATAATGTTGTAAGAAAAATTACAATGGCTTAAATATTTAAACTATTTTAGAATAAGTCGTGTAAACTGCTTTAGCATTTGCAAATATCATTTTAGATTTAGATTGTGATATACGATAAGTACTTAACGACTTTTAACGAATATTTTGGAAAATATTTAAGTTAAGAGATCATCTGAACCTAGTCTTTAAGTACTTATATATATGGAGAGAGATTTTTATTTATTCCTGCTAATTTACAAGACTGTTTTCGTAAGATCTGATTTATTCTTATTTTATTCAACAGACTTGTTACATTTTTTTTAACAGATCTTTATGTGATTCCTTATTATTCCAGTATTAATTGTATGTTCAAAATCGTGAAGTCTATGTTATTTATATACCAGATATTTATTTATGAAACAGATTATTTAAATTCTTATTTATTACTTGAAATAGATTATACAATATATTTATATCGCGCCTTAATTGTAGTTTGCTATTAGATTTAATTGTTTGAAGGTGGTGATTACAATTAGGTTCCTTGTAAACTCTATTGACATTTTATTAGTTTTATGTAAAAATAATTTTAATATGTCGTATAACTAAATATTTTAAAAGCCATTTGGTATCAGATTAAAATTTACTTCTTTACAGTTTTAAGTTAAAAAAAAAAACTGACAAAATCTTAAATTAAATCGGTACTGATATTCCTTCTTTTGAATATTTCAATTCAATTTTGCATAATAGTATTTTCTTTATATATAATTATAAATTTGTTTTTTAAAATACTATCTGTCTTTACAAAATTTTCGGTAATTTTGAGTATAGAAACTAAATAAATGAAGTTTCGAATAATTGACCTTTACAATAATTAAAATACATTCCCCAGTTAAAATAAATTTTAATTTAATCTTTTTCTTAATTGTGCAACCATCTTCGATTATTTAATTAATTTATTTATTATTATTAATAAACATTCACGTGTGCTTTTCCCGCTTTGCAAATTCGGTGTTGACTTGGGAATGAGAATTGTATACCTATTATTATATATTTTTGTATTTCGAATATTTATTTATTTATATTTATATTATAAAAGTACTTTTATGTCATTGATATATACACTACTATACAAATGATAATATTGAATACATATTGAATTGTAGTGGATGGATTTTTATTATCCCAATAGAAAAATCACAAGATTTAATTTTTCAAATTGCAATTATTTATTTTATGTATGCTCATATTTAATGTTATTCATATTTTTATACTTGTATATATATTTATATATGTATGTAAGAGTTAAGATCTTATTTAGTTTAAAAATATGATGATATATGTTAAAAAAGCATTAATTTTTATGTTTTTATAACATATTATGCATTTTATTTTACAATTTAGCTGTTTTTTTGGTGAAGTAGTGCTTGTCGTGGTTTAGTGGTTAAGAACATGGTTCAGAACGAACTAATTTCTGGTTTGATCTTAATCTCGGCCATCTCGATATCAAGTAGTATGATATAAAATATCCATTTGACATAATAAATGAAAATCGTTTTTCGTGGGAATTTCTGCAACCATATATAAGACAATACTATTAGACATCTGGGACTAATATATATAGTGTACACATAAAAAATAGAGTGGTTGACCATTGGGTTGTCCTTTTGGGAAAAAAAAATTAAATATATATATATATATATAATATATATATATATATATATCATGATTTGATACAAAAGTATGTGAAAACCATTCGACTGAGTTTCCAGCACTTTGGAGTGTCTTGGTATTATTTCAAAGGGGGGATACAAGTCTGAATTATTTTTTTATGAATATTTACAAAGTTAAACTATTTAAGAATATATGTACAAAAGAGTTTTTTAAAAATTTAATTATTTTCGGAGATATAGCTGTTTGACCACGATAAAATCTTCTTCTGTTTCCTTCCAAACACGTTTTTCTCGAAATTTTCTTTTTTGGTACAGTAGTCAATTATGTTTTTTTTTTTAAACCGGGTAAAAATAAATACACGTGATATTAGTATGATAATAGTCTTACTTGTGATATTACACTTTTCACCATTATTATTTAAAATTACTCTCTCTCCCCAACCCAACATAAACTTGCATTTTTAGAACCTAGAAAAAATAGTGAAGTTTTGTGAAATATTTGGAAAATTATATGTTTTTTTTTTCAAATCAGATAAAAATAAATACACGTGATAATAGCGTATGATAAAAGTCTTACTTGTGATATTACTCTTTTCACCATTATTATTTAAAATCACTCTTTCTCCCGAGTTTTTGGAATTTTTTAGAAAATTATGTGTTTTTTTTTTCAAATTAGGTAAAAATAAATACACATGATAATAGTCTTACTTGTGATATTACTCTTTCACCATTATTATTATTAAATTAAATTACTCTCCTTTCCCGACCCCACTTAAACTTGCATTTTTAGTACTTAGAAAAAATCGTATAGTTTTTGGAAACATTTGGAAGATTATTTTTGGTTTCAAATCAGGTAAAAATAAATACACGTGATAATAGTATGATAATAGTCTTTTTTGTGATATTAGGCTTTTCACCATTACTATTTAAAATTACTCTCTATTCCCGATCCAACATCACTTGCATTTTTAGTACCTAGAAAAATCGTACAGTTTTTGGAAATATTTGGAAATATTTGGAAATTATTTTATTTTTTTTCAAATCAGGTAAAAATAAACACACGTGATAATACTATGATAATAGTCTTACTTGTGATATTTTGTGTTTTTTGTCATACCCCTATAAACCTCACTTACAAAAAATTGATAGAAAAATTTTCCTTGCCTTTTTTACGCCCTTCAAAAATCACATAAAATTCATACATCAACCCTAGAATACCCCCTTAAAAAACAAGTAGGTAACTCATACAATTTTGCACTTCTGAATATTAGTTCTAATCAATTTTATTTTTTTTTTTTCAGAATCTTATTTGCTGCGCCGCCGACGTGTTGGAATGTCGAACAGGAGGCGCCGTCCAAGTGGCCATCACCGTCACAGAACTTCTTCGACACAACGTCAAAAGCCCCAAACCGAGTGTGGTCTGAAAAAAAAAAAATCGATAAGTATAAAATTTTATATTAATTATTAAACGAATACGAATTGACATATTAAAACCCCATAAAGGCAACATATTGAATTGTAAATGAGAATATATTCGGTTAAGTTTTAGAGTAAGGAAATAATTGACTACTATATGCTACGACGGTTGAATTAAGAAGGAAAACGTGATAATACATTATTATGCTCAATTTTATTTTTGCATAAATGATTATTTTATTTTTTCTTGTGTGTGATATCTTTAATTTAAAGTTTTACAATATATAAATATTGTTGCATCATTTTTTAATATAAATTTGGATTACATGACATTATACAGGGTAGGTTAGTATGAAATAATTTTTATTTTTCATTATTTTATATATAAGAAATATGTACTGATTTATTATGCCATGGTAATAATTAGAGAGAAGATGGATTTTTACACGAATTTTGAAGGAAATAATCACTGGTGCGAGAATTCAAAATGTTTATATACTTTTTATAAAATTATGTATATAGAATTAATTTAGAATATTTTAGGGGGCGTCCATTAATTACTTGGTGTTTGAAGAGGAGAGGGGGGGGCGCTTTGAAAAAAAATCACGTGAGGTGAAGAAGGTCTAAGTTATTAAAAAAAATTAATTTTCACATTTTTATGTGCTAAAGATACACGTAAAGTTTGGAGGAAAAGTTGGAAGGTAATTTTAATTTTTATTCCAAAAATCTTCAGAAATTGATCACGTGATTAATGTACGCCCACTTTATACAAAATTTATACAAAGGCTTTGGCACAGATTATCAGACAAATCAGAAAATTCCACAAAAAAGCAAAAAATATTAAAGATTAATAATGAATATTAAAAATTTTAGAGATTTTCACGTTTTTTAGGTACTAAAAATACGTAATGTTTGGAGGGAAGAGTAGAATATAATTTTAATTATTTTTCCAATAATCTTTACAAATTGATCACGTGAATAATGTACGCCCACTTACAAAATTTATACAAAGGCTTTATTTAGCACAGATTTTCATTTATCTTTATTTATTTTTTATCTTATTTTATCATTAACACTTTCTCAACAATGGTAAAATATTTCTTGTGTTTAGTGGAAATTTTCTGATTTGATCACGTCATGTATCAAAGTTTTTGCAGGAATTTTCTGGAATATCCTAAACTAATTTTATAGCAGTATATAAATCAAAAAGTTAATATAAACATTTATTTTTTAGCCACGTACAAATTTTTTAATTAATAAAAATCTCGCGTTAATGGGCATCGAAATTTCGTAATTAACCTGAAATAAAAGAATGTTATTTAGTAGATTACATTTTGGAAAGATTTTCTTTTATTGGAAGTCATAAAATAGTCATCACAAAATTTTGACTGGAGAGGAAATTTATAATTATTTAGATTATAAAATATAGGTTCACACATTATAAATATATATATATATATATATATATATATATATATATATATATATATATATAATTTTTTCAGATGGTTAAAGATATGTAGATAAAATCAAAAAAAAACTTTTTGAGGAAGCATTCATACAGATAATAGAGAGAAAACTCTAAACTATATCTAACAAAAATTTTTAATAGCTTTTTTATACGTTTCGGATCCCAATTTGGCCCTTCTTCAGTGTATAAATCTATAAAAAATTATATAATAAATACTATGCTAAATATTATTTTTTTTATTACATAATCAATTCAAAATGTTTAAAGGCAAGGTGAAATGAATATACATTTTTTATTAATTTTTTTTTACAAACATTTAATAATTTTATAAAAAAAAATTTAATATGTTTTTTTCTACGTTTCGGATCCCAATTTGGCTCTTCTTTAGTGTATAAATCTATAAAAAATTATAGTAAGAAATAAGTGTATAAATCTATAATAATAAAATTATAATAAGAAATGCTGAATATTATTCTTTTTTATTACATAATCGACTAAATTAATAAAGTTAATGATTTACAGTAAATCAATACAAAACGTGAAATAAATGATAAGTTTTTTTTATTAAATTTTTATGTCAATCTTTTTTTTAGTTTGTTAAATTTATACATTTTGTTTTCGTTTTGTGTAAATTATTAACATTAAGCTTGCCTTTATAATATTTTTGTTAAATATTTTATAAAAGTTAGTATATTATTTCTTGTATCATATTTACTGGAGAAGTGTCAAATTGGGACCTGAAAAATATTGAAATCTTGTACAAAAATTCGTTCGGGAATATAAATTAGTTTTTTTGCTATTGATTTACTTTATTTTATAAAATTTTTAATATTTAGTATATTTTCTCTTATATCATATTTACCGAAGAAAAGTCAAATTGGTACCTGAAAAATATTGAAATCTTGTACAATTTTTTTTTTTAGAAACATAAATTAGTTTTCTCTCTATTATGCCTAAGTGTGTGCTAAAAAGGTTTTTTGTTCATATATAATGTTTTTTTATCTTGCTCAACATTAACAATATTTCTCCCTAAATGTACAAAATCAGTAGATATAAATAATCCAACAACTAAATGGAATATATAAACTATTTGATCTCTTGCTGTAGTTTGCTCAACTTTTAAAAATACATATTGCTGGCAATATTATTAATGTAGTCGACAAATTAGTTTTTAAAGTGCTCAACCACAGGTTTTTTTTTTATCATTTTTGATGGTTTCATCAGGCAAATTTCTAGTGCCAAAGAATAGACTGCCATATTACACGAAATAGTTAACATAAATTTAATTAAAACGCCTACTTACATTTTAATAGTAATAAGTTGACCAAGCTTTAAAACTAAGTGCTATGATTTCGATTTTTATACTATTATGCACAAATTATTGTTATTGAGTAGTATTTACGATTAATTGTATTGTATTATCGCCCTGTATTTATATGATTGTATCTAGTCAAATATTTGTATTCAAGATAATAGACTAAGCACAAAAATAAAGAAAAACTTTTTATAATTTGACGAGTTTGCTTCGTAATTAGTTTAGATTTTAGATTCGTTTTAATTAACCTAAATTTATAAATTGTTTTAAAAAACTAATTATAATTATTAGAAATCATCACGATTTTTGGAGTCAAGTTTTCAATGTCAACAAGTGATTTTTCTGTTTAAGTATGTATTAAATTATGAAACATATCATTAGTGACTTGTATTAATGATATGTTATTAGTTAAATTCATTAATAATTGTGTGTTATAAATATATTAACATATACAGGGTATCCCAGAATTCAACGTCAAACATAACTGATGTTTACATGAGAAAAATCAGAAAAAAAATTACTCAATGTAGATTGAAAATACTGAGTGTTTGAGTAAAGCCCAGAGCTTTAGCCAAATTGTGATCATTTTTCGGTTAATGTAGTTAATTTTTTATATATATACAGGGTGTCCCAAAATTCAACGTCAAGCATTATTGATCATTATGAGAAAAATCAGAAAAAAATCTAGTTTGAAGTTATGGGTATTTGGGTAAGGCCTAAGGCTTTGGTCAAATTACAAGTGAAAATAGTCCTTGCCCGGCTTGATGTATACTAACAAAAAATTAATCAGTGTTCAAATTATTCATAGTGAGGAAAACCGTTTGGGTTGCCATCTAGAAAAGGAGAGGCCCTTTAAGAAGTCAGCAGAAGGTACATAAGACTCGGTAAGTCCTTTTTGATATTAAATGAAAAAACAATAATATGTGGAGTATAAATTACGGTTTGAATTACATGATAAGAGTCAGTTTGTATGTACTTTGTATAAGTGCATTATAATGTTAATTTTTGTCCTTATGTGCGTTATAACCAAATGAGTATATTTTATATTTATTCTTCATGTGTGCAAGAACAGGTATTTGGTGAAAATGTACGTTAAATGAATACAGAAGTATATATAAATATACAGAAGTATATACATATATATATATATATATATATATATATTTATATATATATATATATATATATTATTACCTGAAAGCGTCATACGGGAATTCCAAACGAATACGATAATTGCGATATGTACCAACTCTGAATACAACAAAGAGCCACAATTCAAATACATTAGCGAATTTTTATTTATTTTACTCTAAATGGATGACGACCTGTACCAGAAAAAATGACAAAAAAGAATTTACATAAATATCACCATTGTTGGTTTGCATATTACAAGGTTTTTATTTCATTCAATAAATCGTGACATATTTAATTTAAATATGCAGAACCTTGAATTCCTCTTTAATTGTAATTGTGATTGAAATTCGTTAATTTTGATGGAATTTAATTATTTTTAATTTTAATGTTAATGCTTTGATATACATGCTAAAAATTGGTTAATTAAATTTTTAATTATTTTGTGGTAGTAATTACGTGTCATCTATATTGGGCAGGATGTAGTATTATGATTTTGCTTCTGTGAAGGCAAGATTTTTGCACAAACTTATATTTTTAATTTTATTTTTTTACTTTTTTAAATTCTCAAGATATTCAATAAATATGATTTAAATTTAATATTAGTGTTATCAAGTAATGTAATCAAATATCATTTTTTATTTATTTTATGTCACGTTATATAATTAGAAATTCAAATATATCTGAATTTTTAAGATCGTTAAATATAAATCGTATGCATTGAAATTTCTTTTTTTAATTACATTTAATATCTATAAAATATTAAATGATAATAAATATGGTACACAAAAACACGTTAAAAGGAAAAATATTATACGTTTTTTATACGTTTCGACCCCAGATGTGTGTCATCATTCGGTAATTCAACCAGGATAAAAACAAAAATCTAAAACACTCAAATCAGTTAAAAAAAAAATGTTTTGAAAAACTTTAATAAGAAAAATCTTTTTATATACATTTCGACACTAGATATGTGCCATTATTGAGAAAATCTAAAATAATTTAAAAAAATCTAAATAATTAAAAAGTAAAATTTTTTTATACGTTTTCACACTAGATATGTGCCATTATTGAGAAAATCTAAAATAATTAAAAAATTCTCATAACAATTAATAAAAGATATTTTTTATAAAATTTCAATTAATATTGGAACACCAAAAATAGCAAAAAATATAAAAATGGTAAATTCAATATTTTTTACAAAATAATGTTTATTGACAAATTTCATTACAATTTTTTTATTATCAAATTTCATTATATTATCTTTCTGTTTATCAAAAATGTAGTAACATTTTTGTTTTATTAACTTCCCGTAGGGTAAGTTATAGTAATCATCCAAAAATCGAATGTTTTTGAATTGCTTTACATTTCAGAGGTTTCTGAACATTTTGGCATACCTTTAAAAAAATAGATGTATGTGTGAATACAATTTTTCGTCGACGTTTTCTTCAAATCTTTTCAAATATATTATTATAAATACTGTAAATTTTATTGTTTTTAATTTTGAAATTATAAAAAAATGCTTTACTCAAAAACTAGTCATTTCTTCACACTGTCAATACAAGCAAGCAAGAATGTTTATTGAATCAGTCAAATCGGTTGATCCATGCGCCCGAAATCGTGGACGAAAAATTGTATCCATATAAATACACACATATTTTTCTAATAATAAGGTATGCCAAACGAAAAGATATGCAAAATATTTCATTTTTGAGTTTTGGACGATTACAGTAACTTAGCCTGCAGTAAGTTAATAGTTTTTGCTATTAATTGTCTAAGTCTTGTCATGACTTTGTGGTAAGAGCTTTGGCCTTGCAACAACAGGGTTGAAGGTTCTATATTTAAGCAAAAATTCTTTATAATTTTTCAGTATTGGCAATATGACTCATGTCAGATGCCATTATAATAAAAAAAAAAAAAAAATAAAATAAAATAACAAATTTTTTTTCAGTATTTATTCTTGCTTAAATATCATGTATATTGTGTGTATATATATGTGTGTTTGTGTATGTATGTATGTGTATAAAGCAGTGTGTGTTTTGTTTTTAGGTGTATATATACATATGTGTGTTTGAGTGCCTGTGTGTGTATTATTACAATTATCATAATATCTTTTGTAAAACCAAGCCCCGCATTTGAACACATATAAAATTCACTCAAACATGAATTGCTAATTTCAATAAACAGGTTTCAGTGTCAACAAGATCCACCACAACAGTATCGCCTCGACGTCGGACGAAGAATCATGTAATCATGTCAATGTAGTGTTGAATCCGACGAATTTATAATATATATTTACATTTACCAAAAATTTAGAACCAACAAACTGACCCGATCGACGACCATTAAAACGGTTCTGTACGATTCTGTTTCAGTTATTTGCAAAATGGTTTGACTTGGACTCATTTATTGAAAGACTGAATGAAATTTGCCTTAGTTCTTGTGGATTTATTGAGATTTTTTGTTAATAAGTGCAAGACGAGATGAATTTGGGTACTATAAGTGCAGGTGAGAATATAATTATTTTATTATATATATATATATATATATATATATATATTTACATGTATATTTTGATATATTTGGCAGCCAAACCGTCAAGTGAAAATATGAAATAATAATTCTACTTATTATTTTTTAAATTTCTACATGTGATATGTATATGTATGTAACATTATTTATAAAATCCAAATTAAGAAAATGTTATTTCACAGCCTGTACATTTAATTTAAAATTAAAACAATTATTAAAATTTATTTAGAATGTTATTTTTAAAACTAGATTTACCAAATGATGTCACATAATGTTAAACATGTAGTAATGTTAAAATAAAAAAGTGGAACTATTATTCTTTATTTTCAATTTCTAAATAAAATATTTAATAATCAAATAAAAATGTGACCATTTATATATATATATATATATATATATATATATATAAATAAAGTTGTGTTAAACAAATCTGAGTGCTGTTTTGTTCATATTAAACAATTAATATTCGTTCCACTCATATCATAAAATTCTATATATATATATATATATATATATATATATATATATATATATATATATTTACATGTATATTTGATATATTTGGCAACCAAAATAATATTTCTCTTATTAATTTTTACATTTTTTACAAGTGATATGTATATGTATGTAACATTATTTATCAAATCAAAATTATGAAAATGTTATTTCACAGCCTGTACATTTAAATTAAAATTAAAACAATAATTAAAATTTATTTAGGATGTTATTTTTAAAACTAGATTTACTAAATAATGTTACATAGTAATAGTAGTAATAGTAGTAATACCTGTAGAAATGTAAAAATAAAAAATCTGTTCACACACACACACACATACTTTTTCCAAATTTGGTCTCATTCGATTCAGAATGGCTTGAAACGTCGAGAAAACATAAAATTAGCAAATCGGATTTTTTGATGAAAACAGAAACTTCTCCTTCGGGAAGTTAAAAAGTTGAATTATAATATATATAATTTTCAATAATTAAATAAAATATTTAATAATCAAATAAAAATGTGATCATTTACAAAAAACTTGGAAAATAGATTTTTTATTTATACAAAAATTAATTATTTAGTTTTAGAATTATAGTACGTTATAAAGAAGAAAAAAATAAGACAAATTATTTACATTCGAGGTCACAAAGGTCAGTTATAAATTTGATAACATCAATTTATTTTTTACGGAAATTTTGCGCAATTCTTGTATATATTTATAATTATAATGATTCAGTTAAAGAAATAAAAATCATTTTTGAATTTTTGAATGTAATGCTAAATTATGTATCAATCTTAAGATGATTCAAAATTTTTGTTTCTATTTTTATTTCTCGAAATATTTTTTGCAACCTCGTCTGTCTTGTACTTAATAATTCTCTCTTAAATTTTTATTTCTCAAAATATTTTTTACAGCCACGTCTGTCTTGTATATGATATTCTCTCTTAAATTTTTATTTTTCGAAATGTTCTTTTCTGCTTGGCCTGTCTTGTTTTTGAAATTCCTAGTACAATCAAAATTTTGAACTGAAACCAATTTTTTAAATCCAATAGTAGTAAAAATTTTATAATCTAAAACCATTTGTGCACAATTGTTTATAAAGTTTTCATACAATTATTATAATATCTATTATTAACAAAAAATAAGACACAAATTACATTGACGATTTTGGTTTTCGAGACTCTGACCAAATATTTATATATAACAATTTAAATATAACAAATTTCTAAAGTCTTTGACAATTCAGAATACTAAGTTAAACAAATACTTCTAATTATATATAAATATATACATATTTGAATTTTGAATTCTTTGACATTGAAACATATTCTTGAGATTTTTTTCAACCAAATTTTGGAAACAAAAAACGACAAATACTTGAATTATTTATTTCGTACGCTTAGTTTTTGTTTAAATCAATTAACACAAAACTTATAAGGTTATAAACTAAACATATATAGTTCTTTAAGGCAGTTCTTTTTATACATTCCTATTACGACTGAGATATTTCATCCAATAACCATTAAAATTAATTATTCCAAGAAATAATAAATCAATTCTTCTCTAGTCATTCCTCATAGTTATGAAACAATAATTCACATTAACGACTATTGTAATTTTAATTACAATTTGCGGTATTAGATGAGTCTTGCATATTTTTCTAATATAATAATTACTAATGAAAACCACGATGATCGTAAAAATATATCGAAAAACCATTTACGCAATTTGAAAAGTAATAAAAAATATACGAGATAGATTTAAAAGTCGATGTTTGATTTGACTTATTTGTTAGTTTCAATCTGTGATATGTAGGTGACACAGTAATAATATAATTATTAATAGTTAAAATATTTGTGAAAATAGTGCTGAAAAATGTTCTTATTTTGTTGTGAGTATTTATCAGTATTTTACTTTCAAAAAAATTCAAAATTCAAATATGTATATATTTATATATAATTAGGAGTATTTGTTTAAATTAGTATTCTAAATTTTCAGAGGCTTTAGACATGATTGTTATATATAGTGGAATTCTGTCTTAAGGCAATTAGGGCATCGTGCCTTAAGGCAAATTGCTGGAACTTCCCGTACCGCAATTTAAAATTCGAGTAATTAAAAATAATGAATAATAATAATCATCAATCAAGTTGATCAATAATTTGAAACTTTTAATAGAATTTCGAACCATATTAAATCATTCTATCTTAAATCATTTATTTTAAAACATTTTGGAAATTCTGAACTGTTTTTCAAAGCAATCGTACTGCTTTAACTGCATAAGGACGAAATATCAAAGCGCGTAAGCGCCGCGTCGCCGTCTAACGCGTAAACATTGGTACGGAACCCATAGGAATGTAAAAAAAAATATACTTATTGTTAAAATCTCTATAAAATATCTAATAATTTGATGTGCATATGTCTAATAATCATTTTTGACCGCCAAATGGCATTTTTTTTTTACTTTTTCCTCCATATCTCCAAAGTTGTTGGACCTGCTTTTCCAAAAATTTGAACAGTTCTTCATTTAGTCAATACAAATAAAATGTTTTTTTGAATTATTCAAATCGGACGCTCCTTTCTCTTAAAAACTGATCGTTTTCGGCACTTTTTGCCCCGTATCTTCGGAACGGCTAGACCTGCCTTTGCCAAAAACTAATAAGCACGTCTCCTTATCAATACGAATCGAATGTTTTTTGAATTATTCAAATCGGTTGATCCGTGTTCCCGAAATCGTCGACGAAAATTTGTATCCCACACACACACACAGATACATCCATTTTTTCTAAGGTATGCCAGAATGTTCAGAAACCTTTGAAACGTAAAGATCTATAAAAATTTTCATTTTCGATTTTGTTGCGATTACTATAACTTACCCTACGGGAAGTTAATTAATACAATAGATATTATAATAATTGTATGAAAACTTTATAAACAATTGTGTACAAATGATTTCAGTATATAAAATTTTTACTACTATTGGATTTTAAAAATTGATTGCACTTCAAAATTTTGATAGGATCATCTTAAGATCGATATAAAAATTAGCGTTACCTTCAGAAATTCAAAAATGTTTTTATTTCTTAAACAAAATAATTTTTTTTATTTCCAAACATTTGTCGTGGTTTAATGGTTAAGAACCTGGGGTTTACACAAAATAGTCCCAAGTTCGATCCTAACCTCAGCCAGTCTGATATTAAGCAGTGTGATATAAATTTTTTACTTGAGGTTATAGATTTCAAATATAATCAAAATCCTTGAAGGACCTAGAATTGCTTGACTTTAGTGAATTATAATGATATTAATTTAATTTTTTTTCCAGTTTTTTTCCTGGTCGCCCAGATAATTCCAGGAGCGCCCCAAAATATTGATCAACAAATGATTCAACAAGTGTTCGGGGCTCCCCCTTCTAACAATATACCACAAAATTATTACAATGGACCAGTTCATCCCCAAAATCAATGGTATGGTGGTATGATGAACGATCAACAAGCACCACGACCACATAATTTTGTGCAAAACTCGAATAATTTGAGAAATATGCCCATGCCGATGCCAGATGTACAAAATGCTACGGGATGGGATTTGGGGGATGATTTCATTCCCTTCGAAGGAGCGGTTGATGAGGATTTTGATTGGGCACTTTATAAGGTAAGAAATCTTTAAGAAGCAATTTAATTCAAAGATTTCTTTATTAATATGAAGCATCTATCTTTTTATCACGTAAGGTTTTTAGGGGGAGGCGGGGTTTGACAAAAAATCACGAAAAATCACGTGGGAGAGAGAGGGGTCTAGTAAGAAATTTATTTATTTAGTTTTAACTTTTACCTAATTTTTCAAAAAGAAAAAAAATACGATTTTGTCGTAAATTCGAAAAATTCTTTTGAAAAATTTTACGCATTTCTAAATTACGAGGGGAGGCATTTCTAAATATCACGATGTATCACCAAGGGGGTCCAAAAATGCCCATAAAATCGATCGCTTTTTGACAAAAAATCACGGAAAATCGTGTGGGGGTCTAGTAAGCTTAAAACAGTATCTGATACCAAATATTAGAAATATTTATTAATAAATTTATATTATTAAACAAGGGTTGCATAGAAGATCCGAGTTTATGAAGGATTCTTGTTAACTAATATCAATGTTCTAAAATTTCAGAAATTGTTTGAGGTTATATGGGGTATTTATTTATCTTATTAATATTTTTGAAGAAGATGTGGTATTTAATTATCGTATTAATTATTTAATTTTTGAAGAATATGTGGTATTTAATTATCTTATTAATTATTTAATTTTTGAAGAAGATGTGGTATAAATTATCATATTAATTATTTAATTTTTGAAGATGATGTGGTTTTTAATTATCTTATTAATTATTCAATTTTTGAAGAAGACGTGCTATTTAATTATCTTTCTGTGAAAATTTAGTTTTTGGTATATTCAAAACAAAATAATGTAAATTCCAAATTTTAAACATTTTTTTTACATTACTGTTATGAATTACGTGCAAATATAAATTGTACTGAAGGGAAAACCTAATAATTTTTGGAATTTGTATAATATTTAAGTGATAGATATCACTGATGATTTCAAAAAATCATTCAAAATTATAAATCTACAAATTTCACAGTATTGTTATAGTCACTTTTAGAAATATACGCTGACTGAGATATTAAAAGTATATTGAATATATATTATATTGAATTAATTAAATCATTATTAAATATAATATTTTATTAAATATTCAAATTTTTCAAATGTTAAAAAAATCACTTTTTTCTCTAACCTTTTAAAAATTTTAAAATGTACTGTGATTGATTGGTTTTTGGAAGAGGCAGGTCCAGCGGTTTTGAAGATATCAAGCTAAATTTGCAAGAAAATGCAGTTTTTGAGAGAACTGAGTTTTTGAGAGAACTTCTGCTTGTGTTGACGAAACGATAAATTTTTGGATTTTTTTTATTTCCAAAAACATTTTTTTTGAGTATTGAAAATTATTCGAATTTTAATTAATTCTAGCTAAAGTTCTAAAGCTGAATTATATACATCAAATAAATAATTTTAACTTTGCACTTTAAGAAATTTCGAAATTTAAAAAAAATCAAAAAATTTTAGTTATAAAAAAACAGAATTTTCAAAAAATGCATTCATTTCAATATTCAAATATTTCAAATGTTCAAAAATGTGCAAAAAAGTTTAAAATTCACAAAGAAATTCTAATTTTTCTCTCTGAGTTTTAAAAAATTTTAAATTACTGTACGGAAAGTTCCTGCAATTTGCCTTGAGGCACGATGCCATGCACCACTAGTTTTATAGTATTTTCTAAAAACCAAGTGTGTTATAAATAAAAATTATTAATTATTAATTAATTATTTTCGATTTTTTCCGATTACTATAACATGCCTTAAAAAGTTAAAAAAATATTACGGAGAAGTATTTTTACAACTTTCACTAATGTTTTTAACAAATTAATGAAACATTAATGAATTAATGTTTTCGTAATTTTTTTTTCCAGACCTTATCAACAAAATCAACAAGTAATCTTCTAGTTTCCCCAGTATGCGTAAAATTACTGCTGATGATGCTATATGAAGGTGCTTCTGGTGATACTAAATTGGAAATTTTGAGACTACTCTCCCTTCCTGATAGTTACCAGAGCAACAGGGAACGTGCAGGAAAAATTATAGCTTCCCTTAAGGTAGTTGAATACATTCAAAACACATCAAAATCAAAATCCAGCCAAACATTATTACTTATGCCAATATTTCATTTTCCCCCAGGCCAAGAATCCAGCTTACCATCTAGATTTCGACACCAGGATTTACATTTCCCACATGATACAGCCAAGGCAGCGATTCAACGCGATTGCCAAAATGTTTTACGATTCGGATATCGTGTCTATAGATTTCACAAATGGAATAAATAAAAATAACAGTGATGGTACTGTCACCAAATACGATAGTGCTACCATTATGAATCAGTGGGTCGCCAATGTTACAAGGGGACACATTACAGAATTGGTCAACCACGGTAATAAGATTTTTAATAATTAATAAAATTGGTCAACCACGATAGGTGGTAAAGTTTTAATAATTAATAAAATTGATTTTTATTTGATCGGTTATTGATAAAGTTATTTTGCTTCAGCGGATGTTTATGGTGCTGTTATGGTGCTGTTGAACGTCATATACTTTAAGGGCGAATGGAGAAAACAGTTTCCTGAGGAGAATACAACGTTGGGAAAATTCTACCTGGATGTCGATAAGTAAATTACATACAGAATTTAATTATATTTTAATATATATATATATATATATATACACCTAAGTCTGTTTTTACACGGTCTTTTTGTACACGGTTTTGATATAACACGGTTTGAAAATTGATATTTTTAATTTTTTTACACGATTTTATTCCATTTAGCACGATTTGGAATTTTATGTACTTAATTTTTTTTTGTCAAATTTAATTTTTGCGAAGTATGTTCATATCACAAAAAAGTATTTATGAAAGAAAAAAGTCTGAAACCATCGATAGTATCGATAGTTTGCGAACACTAGCTTAAAGATTTAAGTGAATTCCCCTTTAGCGCGTACAAACAATTTTTACTTTGATTTTTTTTTATTATATTTGATTTTATAAAATAAACATGAATTCTTGTTATTGAAAATTCTTGTTTTTCACTAATTTTAATAGGTTTTAGGGATTAGGAACAAATCACCCATTTTTGTATAAGATCAATGTCTTTTTTACACGTTTTTTTTACACTGCTTTTTCTGGAACCAATCTACCGTGTAAAAACAGACTTAGGTGTATATATATATATATATATATATATATTATATGGCTGCAAAAATATTACAAATATGTATCAACGTCAACAAAACTAACATCATATATATATATATATATATATATATATATATATTACATCTTCAACCAGTCTACAAATAACACACTATCTATTTGTGATTTTTTCAAATCAGTATTTTGTGAAAATATTGTGTAATTTCAAGTTAATGTTTATAATACATAGTGTAGTGCATTACCATATCCTAATACCATGGATTATTAAAATTTTCCAATTTAACAATAAGATCAACTAATTTTTCCACTGAATGAAGGCTAGGATTATAGCCGAAACGTATGGATTTAAAATAAATTTTTGAAAAAAATTCATGTTTTTTATTGATGTTATGCCCGATTATTAGACTTTGTTAATATATATATATATATATATATATATATATATATTTATAATTTAAAAAATCAACAAATGTTTTTTATAAATAAATAGTGTAATAAACTTATCACAATTTTTATTATTAGGCCAATCACAGTACCTTTTATGAGACAGCAAGGTGTCTTTTTCTATCATGACTCAAAAGAGTTGGATGCGAGGATTTTAAGAATGCCATATAAGGTAAATTTTATATATATATATATATATATATATATATATGTATATTATTTTATTTACATTGTACTTCTTCAAAGGGTGGAAAATTCAGTGCCATATTCATATTGCCAAACACAATGAGAAACGGATTACAACATTTACAACAGAATTTGAATGCCCAACTTCTGAGGCAGCAATTGTGGCTAATGGATGAAGTCGAACTCAATGTTACCTTACCAAAGTACAAGTTTGATTTCAAAGCAAAACTTGTTGATACTTTGAAAGAGGTAAGGCTACTGATCGAGAGCATATTTAGTTAGAATTATTTAATTTGAAATTGCAATTTTGTTATTTAGATGGGCCTGCAGTCTGTGTTCAGTCCAACTACGTCCTCACTGCCTGGTATTGCAAGAGGGCTTTCGCCACAGGATACATTATCAATATCTGGCATAATGCAAAAGGCTGGCATTGAAGTTAACGAGAAAGGAAGCACTGTATATGCTGCTACAGGTAATGATGTATATTAAATGGTACATACACACGCACCCTGCATATATCTTTTGTTCATATGTGTATAATATTACATTTTATTCTTTAGAAATTGTCCTGACCAATAAATTTGGCAACGACCGCGAGGTATCTTTCTTGGCGACAAGACCTTTTATGTTTTTCATTCAAGACGAGACAAGTGGAACAATTCTATTCATAGGAGAAGTTTTGAATCCATTAGAAACTAGTAATGAATAAGAATAATCAGAAATTGTTATTAATAATATATCTGCATTTTGTTTTCATCTCATTGTCTTACAATAAGCATTTTAATAATTAAAACATTGATAAACCACTCGAGTATATTTCATGTTATATATGTTAGTTTAAAAAGACTTACTTATGGCGAATAAATTATGTTCAATATTGAATATCATAATATACATAATAATTAAATAATTGGCTTTAAGTGTCTTTTCTTCAAGACAAGTTGCAAATACTTCCTAATAATTGTAAATAACTATAAGTATTGATATTTAGCTATTTAAATATTATTGTAAAAAGTTTAATTCATTTTGTTGATTTATTAGTTTAATTGTTTCATCTCATGCTGAAATCAGATGAAGATATGCTCGCAAAATAGTAGACAACAGAGTTTGTTGAAGTACTAGTGGTTCATATGTATAAATACTATGAATTTTACTTCTTTTGTTGGTTTCTTGATACCGATAATTATTTAAATAATTAAGATTCTTAAACACAGTCATTGTGTCATGAACAACAATTGTGTAAATACTTTATTTACTACGGAAAATTGGCTTTTAATATATATCACTTCAAAAGGGAACGGGCAAGCTCTCCTTTAGCGGACATTCATATCACATATCCAACATATTGCCTTCTACCGTATATATTCTAATGTTTTAAATTTATATTTGAATTTCGCGCTTTAAGTTGTACAAGTGACGGCAGCCATTTTAACACATGTTGATAACTTCAAGTTGTTCAATTGTCAAACAGATTTCCGTGAATTAACATGCTGTCGCGTTAATTAACGTTTTTTTAATTAAATCCTTGATTAGTTTTAATTAATTTATGCATCAAAACGTGTAATTAATTTAGTAGATCATTTTGATATAATAAATTTGTCGTGAAACGTTAATTAAAATCCAAAAAGTGTATGTGTGTGGAAGTACATTGAATAGTTTGATAAGTATCTCTTTCAGGGCCTCCATTTTTGAGTCAATTTTATAAGTAAACAATTCATTTACAGCGCCAAAGTATCCTTTAATTATATACATATAATTGTGAATTTGTATAATTTTATATATGTGCTTTTGTAGGTTATTAATTCATTTACAGCGCCAATGTATCCTTTATTTATATATATGCAATTGTAAAATGTATAATTTATATTTGAGTACTTCCAACACATATCTCTTTATTATCGAATTCTAAATTCACGAAAGTCTCTAATGTAAGTCGTGTGTCGTGTATTGTGTAAAGACTTCACTCGGATAGTTGCAATAAGTCGAATAGACTTGTAAAAGACTAAAGTTATGTAGTGGTTCTAAAGTAGTGATTTTGTGTCGCACTTGAGATTTCTGGCTTCTGTTCTGGGAGCTGCGATAGAGGATATCGAACAATGTAAGTGCAAAGCATGTTTTATACAAAGCGAGTCAAAGGATATATTTCTGGAATTATATACAGGCATTTATCGTACCATATCTGTTGTGCCTTAGTGTTTTAAATATTCAATATTTAACTTATGTATATATATATATATATATCTTGTATATATATATATATATATATTATATATAAATGCATTAAGTTTTTCTGAGTTTTGAATTTAAATATTTTTAAAAATTATTTAAAATCTTTATTTCGATACCTTATTGTTTGTCATCTTCAATAAAACTTTGATTTGAATAGAAATAAATAAAAAGATATTACTTTTAATTTATTTTCTGAACAGAGTTTACAATTATTGACCGACTTTGTATTATATGCTACTTTTATGCTTGTAATAATAATACTTCTTATTAAATATGTATTTAATGCTTTTTTTTCATATTAAATGAAATGAATAAATGAAAATTGATTGGAAGATTTTTTGAGAACTTGCCCCTTTGTTATCCGATATTATTTATAAGGCAGCCTGTATATATTTTAGTGGAATATTTTCTGGCTCGTGCTTATTAATATAGTTGTATACATATATTTTCTGGCTCGTGCATTATTAATATAGTTGTATACATATATCTGCTAAAAATATTGTTTATATTATAATAATTGAGTCAATATCATTTTTTCAATGAGGTGTACTTTATTAATTTTTAATGCATAAAATACAATTTTTTTTTTATGTTAATTCATCAACAACTATTATGCTAATAAAAGATTTTAGAATAATTTGGCAGACATATGTGTAAAAGATGTTGTTCTTATTTAATTTGCTATGGGGAAAGCATGTTGATTCAGTTTTTTTTGTGTGGAATTCAGAATTATTATACATTAAATTTTTGTTGCTAAATGATTAGTTAACCAATACAGCTTTTTGTATGCTTCGATTACTTATTTGTTGAATGGGCCCTAGCACCTTACCTTAAGTAACTCCTAAATTGATGGTATTTTGTTATAAATTACAAGTTACAAATTTACTTTGTTACAAAAATCTCTTTTTTATTACACCTCTTGTTCATTATTATACAGAAAAAATATTTGTATTTGTATTTGACATTTCCAGTATCAAGAATCATGTGTTTTCCCCAAGCGATATTGACTGCATGAATATTCTTATTTATGGATAACACGATTGTGTGGTTTTGATCAAATTCTTTCAAATATCTAATTGAATTGACTTACCAAATTGTTGCTTTAAAAGTCTTTTACTGTAGTTTTATTTTAAATTTATTCAATTATATCGCTGCATGGCTAAATGATAGATTTTTATTCTTTTATTGCTAAAAACAATTTTGATCAAGACATACAATCTAAGTTTCAAAGAGTTGACTTGAATGATTAGACAAAATTTATTTTGTTTACAAGTTTATTATTCGATTCAAGTTGTAAAAATTATTTAACTCGATTTCTAAAGGATAACAATCAGCTTTATAATAGTTTTGAAGTTTTTAATGTTCAAGTTTTCGAACATTTTTTATTATTTCATTTTACAAGTTTTATTGAATTTCTTTTATGGCTTTTTCTAATAATTTGTATATTATTCAAGTCAACTAAATTTGTTTTTTTGTCTCGATTAATTGTAAAGGTTTCACATGTTTTATCAAGTCGTATAAACAATTTTGATTCGATTAATATCATTTCATTTCATCGATTAATTAAATAATTCTCTCGAATAATTTTTTTTTTCTAAGTCTAAATTTTCTGATTATCATTTTTTCGAATAATTTTTTTTTCTAAGTCCAAATTTTCCGATTATAATTTTTTCGAATAATTTTTTTTTTCTAAGTCCAAATTTTCTGATTATAATTTTTTCGAATAATTTTTTTTTTCTAAGTCCAAATTTTCTGATTATAATTTTTTCGAAGAATTTTTTTTTTCTAAGTCCTTTCAGATAAATTTTTTTTCTAAGTCCAAATTTTCTGAAACCTTTACAATTAAGACAGACGAGTTATTTATGCATGCTGTATTATCCCAAAGCCAACATTCGAATGAATGAGGCTCACATTGAATATTTCACAGCGAGAAAATTTTATTGGGACAAGTCCCAGTAATTTTTTCTCGTTGTGAAAACTTCAACGTGGACTTCATTTCATTCGAGTGTTGGTTTTGGGAATTGGTGTGAGGGAACACTAAAAAACATAAAAAAGTTTCAACGCTGAACAGAAAAGAGAAAAATTGATCTGGGACTTAAGGGGTTTTTTTTTAGGCTCTCCACCCCTCCCCTTCCTCCTCCTCCTCCTCTTTCCCCTTTTTTTTCCCTTTTTTTCGCTTTTTTTCACATTTTTTTCTTTTTTTGGTGTTTTTTTCGCATGTTGTGGTTTTTGGGTTGATTTTTGGGTTCGGCATGCATCTTCCGCAATGTGTCTCTCTGCGTGTAACATCTCGCATCATGGACCTCAGGTTGACCATCACTTGGTGTGTTCGTTTCAGGACCCTTTGCGCTCGCCAACAGCCAGCCACCAGCACTGCTCCATTTTTTCTGCTTCCGAGTTGGTCGTCGTCGCCTTCAGCCGGATTCGATCCGTCTCACCTTGTGCCTGCCTCCAGAGCGATTTCACCGAGTATGCGGTCACTTAAACCGCTCGGCTATTTAAGTTATTGATGATAAAAGTTATTTTTATTCCTATATTGTATTAATATTGAATTTAATAAAGAATATGTATCATACACATCTCTCTTATTCATCATCTGCCTCTACCCCTCTCTTTCCCCAGTTCTCTTCCTCTACTTTTTTTTTTTCTCTCTTTATGTATCTCTCTTACAGTCAAGTGCGAACCTTGAATTTTTCAGAAATATTCTAAGTGTCAAGGTCGAAATGCGACACCTGAATTTAATATTTTGAACTAATATTTGATAATTATGAAAAACTACACACTCGATTTTTTGTGTCTCTTCTGGAATCGAACCGAGACACGCTGAGCAATCTTAGTGGTCACTTAACGATCTCGGCCAATTGGTTACATGAAACCGTAGTCTTTTTTTAAAAATATAAAGTGTTATTTTCAAACTGAAAGATATAAGTTTCCTAAAAATGTAGTATGCCAAATGTGCGAATGGCCGAGGTCGTAAAGATACGGTTTAGGCCAGAATATCAATTCGAAGTTCGCTAGTTCGAACCCCATTTGACTGAAAAAAATATTTGGAACCAATAATTTTTCAAACTGTGTAAATAAATAAGACATATAGATAGAATTAATTTATTGAGTGTCAGTATTACAAAAATCGACATAATTATATATAATATATATATATATAAAAATAAATTATATAGCAATAATATATATTATATATATATATATATATACGTATATATATATATATTATATAACGTATATAGCGTATATATATAAAAGATAAAAAAGTAGGAGGATAATTTTTAATAAATTCATATTTACGCCTGGTTAGCAGTAAACCAAACCTACTTTGGTGTAATTTAAAATCTATTATTTTTTCGATAAAAAGACAGTCTATCAGGAGCAGCCAAAATTGGCCAAAATCGTGACCTTCAAATGCAATTTTAAGGCACTTAATGAATGAAATTAATAATTTTAATGAATGCATTGGTAAGACTAAAGTACAATCTTTATCCAAACCAAAAAAAATACAAATTTATCATCGTCTTCATAGTTAAAATCAGCTTCAAAGTTGGCAATTTTTCAAACTTCAA